GGGTGTTGAGTAAATAAAATGATCGCTCTGTTGACGGCATGTTTGTTTTTGCAATCCTTGTGCGCGCGCTGAATTGCATCAGCAAAAGCGCGCGCGAAAACTGTGTTCGGCCACCTTAACCTAAGTATCCGTCGGAAAACTTAATCTGGCTTTGGTGCATCAAGATAGCTATGTTTAATTTCAACATCTATTATTAATAGTGGCTTTGTGCTACATGAGTGTGTGTTCATTTGCTGTGATTATAAAAGAAGTTCTTACATTCTTATAACAGATCTGTCAGTTTGTGGCTCATCAACATCTGGTTCTCCCTCTGATTCACCAGCTGTATCAAAATAAAGGAAAAAGTTGTCAAGAACCAAATCCACTTCTTCTGAAAGTCTTAAAGTCTTCAATTATATTGTTCAGATACAATACAGTACCAAAAGCTCAATCTGGGGACATGTAAATTGGTATTCAGCAGGTAAAAAGACAGTGTTTACGAGGTCAACATTACATGTTGTAGTTATAGTTGACTAAGACTTGACAATTTTTGAAGAAATGAACGTTTTCTGTGAATGAATATTGCATCTACAATCATGCCTTCCTCATCTAGAAATCAAAATACACGGATTATACTCTTACTGCAATAGCACCTTTACAGACTAAGATTAGCAAGCAGTGAGTGACGAAAGAACCAATGAGATCTGCGAATTCGTAAACTCTGGTTAAAGTAGGAAGAAGTCATAAGTCATGGTACTGCAGCAATGCGGTCTGACATTTTGATCTACTTACATTCAACATTTAGGTCTGCCATGGACGTTGCTGTTCCTGCGGTGTTTCTGGCCTGGCACATGTATGTTCCCTCATCTTCGATATCGACTTCCGATATTTTCAAGCTATGCAAATCACCCTCCTTCTCGGCATGGATGCGCTCCCCTGTTCTGACCGGATGATCATCCTTCATCCATGCTACCTCCGGCTCTGGAACACCAGACACACGGGCATCTAGCTGTGTTGGCTGGCCCTCCTTGGCTTTCTGATTTGCCAATGGCATGGTAAACACTGGCGCTACCGGGGCTGCAAAATGATAAGGATCTATGTTTAAGCTTTGCCGAATAAGTCCCTGCATTTTAACACAAAGTATTTTGAAGTGATTCGCTTGATTTGTGTTCACTTACGACACATTTGTGCATAACTTGCAACTGAAGAGCTGTCAGATAACTCTTCCATGAACTCTATCACAATTTCAAGAGACACAAAAATGTACAAAAATTATAGGAAATTCAACAATTAACGTATTTTTTCTCACCAATTCTACTAAGTAACAAGATAAGATGGAGAGGAATTGCAGTATGGAAAACCATGATGTATAATATCCGGCGTCAATCTTTTCTGCAGAACATTGAATTCATAAAAAGCCTTTTCTCGTTACCTATACTTGCTGATAAAGTTCTGGTACGAGAATGTTCAACTGAATTAAAATCAAGACATACCTGATGCCAACTGTACAGGCTCTGTTTCTACAACAATTTCTTTTTCAGGAGCAGGGACGACAATTTCTGAAATCTTGACACGAAAAAGAGACATAAGTACTAGTAGACAGATACTATACGTGTAACTAAATATGTCCAAATCTTTAGGCCGAGCGTGAGGTCGAGATGTACATGTACAAATATCGACCTCATACAAGTACATAACATTATTTCCCTGTCAATTAGTTTATCTCTACCACTTCACTGATTACGTACAGAAACAAAAGAACTTAGCAAATATTTCCAATCCTGGACCTCACGTTGGGTTGATTAAAACTATGTAGAGCTATTTAAGTTCATACTTCATCAGGCACTTTGGATCCAGGCTTTGACTTCAGCTTAACGGTGTACTCTAAATAAAAGGAAGTAAGACAAAAACTCTCAGAACGTTTCTACAGGGAAATCGTTTCACTTCCTAAGGTTACTTAGCCCACAAATAATCAAACAGCAAACACAATCTAACCCCAACCACACAGATTTAAGTTAGAACAATCTTTTACAGCATAATATTCAGTATAACATAACAAAACTGCTCGACAGCTTTCATATGAATGGTCATAAACTAGGGTTCTGTTGCAGACTTAAAATTTAGTATGAAGTTACACCGCATTTACCACGATACTACTCAATAGTTGAATGGTTGCATAACATGATTGACGATTTTGAATTTGTCACTCTAGGCTTGTAAAAAATTGTGAAGAAACCAGGCATTACCAGCAGGCATAATGATTTCTGCTGTGGACTTCTTTCGCTGTAGCACTGCTGATGGTACCCAGATTTCATTGTCCTTGGAGCCATCTGCTAGCAGCCTGACCACCTTGTACATCCCAGGGCGTGACAGTCGATCTAGCACCACTACAGTCTCTTCCTTCCGAAGCAATATGTTGTTATGGTCATCTCGATAATCCTCTAATGCCACGTAGAACTCAACCTCTTTTGGGGTGCCAGGAACAAGGATCTCAAACCTGAAATTAAGTAATATTGAACACTAATTTAGAAGTAAAGCTCTTTGGGGTCCATCAACAGGCTTGCCTACACCTTACAATGTTCTCTGTAACAAGGGCTGTGTAGAATTAAATCAGGCGTAAACCTTCGAGGCCAAGTGGTCCGCAAACTGCTGACACTTAACTCTGTTTTCTCTACCACGCGCACCGTAGACTAGAGGGGTTGCAGCTCCCCATCGCTGGGATACTGGTTCTACACAGGATACCACACTGCAGACTACGACTTAAGGTCTTTGAACATACATACGATGCCGTCGTGGGGTCGCCAACTTTCAAACAATTATGTCAAATACTTACTGGGTCTTCTGACGAATTTCTGCACAAAGACGATCAACAACTTCTTTGCCAGCCTGCAAAGACAAAAGCTTCCAATCATGACATTTGATGCGGGTAGGTACAGGTGTCTACATTTCTGCTACTTACTGTATTTAGCATAATCCAGTGACTGACTATAGATCATAAGGACCCTCTTTTGATGGATAGTTAGACTTGGGAGCACGGTATTGTATGGACTACTTGCCAAAAGCCAATAATAAGTCTAGTCTCAGGGCCAGGGGGCAAGAAACAAACTGGTACTTGTTCGTTGGACTGACCAGTCTTTAAAGACGAGCCACAAAGTGAATAACAGATTCTTTGATTAAACGGGTGTAGAAAAATTCTCCTTAATTGCATATAGTACCTCGAGGTCATCTGTATCAACCCCAGCCTTTCGTCCACAATCCAGAAGATCACCGAGATATGATCTGTATTCTAAAATACGTTCAACAGGGCGATCCAGAAGTTCATCAACAGGACGAGAAGGACCCTCTGCCTCACACTTCTGCAACGTTGAAAAGGATAGTTAAAAATAATAACTGAAAAATACTTGTCTAATACTAATCCTTATTCCTTGTTCAGCTGCAGGTAATAAATGTTCATAGTAACGAAAAGTAGAAGTAAAACGCGAACCTATCAACCACGCCATGTACATTACATGTGCAGAGTCTCTACCAGGCAAGAAATAATATTTTAAGGAAGTCTTAATTATCTCCAGTTTCCATCCTTCTGGTTAAATCTGGAATTCTCATATGATGGCAAATCCAGACATAATACACAACCAACCAAGTGTATGGTTTTAGTTTAAACGTGGAATAGTAACAAAACTACTGTAATACTTCCAAACCCACCTCGAAGAAGTCTTTTGGTTGAGATTCTAAAAAGCTGTCTGAGTCCCCTTTTCCATCACAGAAGGTTATATATCTGTCAAGCTCATGTTCCTTTAAATACAGAAATGTATTTATCAGAGAAGGCTCTTTTCATACAAGATCTATACAAAAGTGTAATGAATGACTTTGAAAAGCTCTAACTCTGGACTTCACATCTAACATGCAATGAACAGTTTGCATTTGTTAAGACAAACCACGACGGCATTTTAACATAGTGGTTTGTCACCAGCAACGGATTTAAAAATGTAGGGAAAAATTTTTCTCTGTGACATACCTGTAAACTGACAAACCTGGCATTTTACTGTTCAATAAACTTAAGAGCCAACATACCCTTTTCTTGAAGACCCTGCCAACTTCTGAAGGATTTCCTTTACACTTAGCCAGCTCCTCACAAAAGATCCTGCAAATAACCAAATACACATCCGTCATGATATCCACAATTCGAAGAACAAGATATTCTATCAACTGTTTGAAACTAACAGCCACAAAATAAATAAATCAAGTCTTGTCTTTGAGGCGACGTTAGTTTCAACAGTTACACAATTAACGCAGATGGGATTAACTTACACTTTGTGGAAGAAGAAGATGTCCTCTGAATTGATGAAGATGGTGTCTTTATTGTCAGCCACCTCAGGTGGAGCTTTGGGTAGCTGATAGATATAATCCTGCGAGATATACATGGAAATATATGGGTCTCAATCTATGTTCTCATAGGAGAATCTTTGTTTACAACATTTGCCTCATTAGCATAAGTGAGACAGTTTCTGATGGAGCCACAAAAACATTAGTTCTGAATATTGAAAGGGTACAGCACGATTAACTGTCCCAAGGAATTTGAGCCTGATCTATTGAATGCTTTTGTACGATGCGGGTTTAAAAACTCACGTTTTTACAAAGAATATATGAGCTCATTAGCGCTTTTGCCACCTAGAAATTTTGCAGTTTTTGAAAGCGAATTTCTCCTCGAATATTACCCCCAAAAGATCCAAATTACTAAGTTTCACAAGCTCCTTAGCTGTTTGTAGTCAATTTGTGTCTAGGTGATGCCTTCTCTGTGCAAAGTCGTATGTTGATGAGGAAAAATGTAAACAATGACGTCAGCAAAGATCGCTCTATAAAGGCATTATATAAACAATCGGTCCTTTTTCCAAAGCATCAACCCCTTCATCTCTGTAGATACAAGAAGAAAGGGTATGAGAATAGAACCTGCTCAGAATGAGGGGGAAAATGTCCTGAAATAGAAGGCATTAAGGTCATTCCCCAGTATTGCATTGCGCATCCCTACTGCGCATAATTTCACGCGTGATTAGCGCGCGCGCATTAAAAACTGGCGGCTTTTTCTTTACAGCTGGACCACACCATCGAGGTAAATCGTCACTTTCTCGCAAACGAGTATGGTGACCTACCATTTTTTTTCCTGTTGTTTGGAATTGAGTAATAAATTTCTCTGTGTTAAATATATATGGACCAATTCTCAGTGTAGAACAAAAAGCGATCGTCGGAAACGTGAATTTAGCAAGCAATCGTGACTACAATCATGGTGCTATTATAAGGATTTATATGGGTATAAACAAGGTGCTGTTGTTCCTAAACGAACATGGGGACCCCTCATTTTTATTTCAAAATTTAAGTTCCTATAATATAAACAATCAATACGCAAAGTTTCACAAAAATCTCGGTGCAGGTTCTATTTCAGTGGAATGACCTTAATTTCAATAATCCAACTCCATACCTCAGCAAGGGATCTCAAGTCATCCACATATTTTTCTTCACTTTCAATCAACTTATCAGTGATGGCATTCATCTTTTGCAGCTCAGCTTCTTTGTCCAAGTCAGGGGCTTCCCCATTCATATAAGGATATGGGAGTGTTAGTTCCACTGCATCAAAGTTGAAGTCCTTGGGTGTGGTCATGAGGTGCACCTCAGACTCGACCCTAGGTTGATCTTCATCAGCTGGGTGGCCATTTGGTAGCTGACTTGAATCAACGCATGGGGCAGACCCCCTTCGTGGGGTCCCTGGTGGTGTGAAGATCAGAACTGAACCAGCATGTTGTGGAATGAGAAGCTCAACATGTTTTGGGGGTTGCATTCTAGAGTAAGAGAATAAACAAATTAATTGTAAAGCATTAAGAATTTCAAGCTATAGCTGTTACGCTGGCCAGAAATCTCACGCAACTTTAGTAGACGTTTTCTCAAAATATACTTTTGTTGCCAGTTTGCAAAATTGTTATCTCGGCTTGTCTCGTCTCGTTCAGTTCCGTTCTGTATCGAATAAAAAGTGTTTACGTGCAAACCAAGGCTATTTACGTTGTGGACAGAGAGAGACAGTCGCTAAATTTCCATTGAAACAAAAATAAACCTGGAGGGTTGAAGTACTTACTGTCTACGACTACTAGCAACAGAATCTTCAATCCTCCTACAGATGTTTTCATTTGCTCTTTTCATGTCTCCTTCAACTCTGTCAATCTCTTCAGGGCTGGTCTTGTCCAAGGTATCAGGAGCACTCTCAACAGTTTTCTTGGACCGCACATTGACATTTAGATTCTCAGAAGGTGGCAGAGCACCAAAAACATAGAGATTTGACGTCATTTCGGGTTTTTCTGGAACCAGCATCTCCACTTCAGTTCTTGTCTCTTGTTTGATGCTTGTTGTGGTTTCTCTTGTTGTTGTCTTCCACACTCTTTTCCTTATGAGTTGCAGCTGATCCGACGAGGATGGTGGTGCTGTTTCCGTGTGAAGGGCTGTTTCAACTTCAATGTCTTTGCTGACGAAGGGTCCAAGCGAAGTCACTGTGACATCTTTCTTCACCACTTCTGCACCCCATGGAGACAAAGCCATTTGATTAGGTTCTCGCTTAGTATCTTCACTGATGTGAACCAGTATCTCATGCTCTGGGATCTCAGCTGGTTTCACAGCCTTGCCTCCCTCGAACCAACCCTGGATCTCTGACTTGATGATGGGCTCAATCTTCTGTTCAGCTTCTACGCTCACTGGTGCATCTGACCTCACTCGCACTGACACCTGTGGACGCTTGGCTGGTCCAACTTCCTCAAGTACATCCCGATCACCAGGTCTCTTGCTGCCTAGAACCCCATCAATGAATGATGACAAGACATTCACTCGCACTGGCTTCTCATAATCTGCTGAGATGGGAGTGGATTCCAGAAGTTCTTTCTCATAGGCCTCTACACTTTCAGCTGTTACTTCTTCCGCCTGATAAAAATCAATGAAATGAAGTTAATCTGTACGTCAGCTGTACTCTACAAAATGACAAAAGGATAAATGCTAGAACTGTACATTTACACGTACAGTTTGACGAGTGAGATTTTGACTTGTGCTACATATTAAATAATGATTCAAAATATAATTTACAGTACTATATAAATGCCAAGAAACCCAGCAGAAACCGAGGATGACTAATTTCGACGATAGTCAACAACTTGAACACACGGGGTTCATGTTGACCTTTGCTTTAAGTTTGGTTCGAAAGTCATTTTGCTAACCCAAATCTTTTTGCCAACCCATACAGGTTAGAAGAAGTAAACTGTTACTGTACCTTGGGAGGTAGTCCTCTCTGCTTTCTCTCCCTAAGTCTCTCTGCTAAGCGGAATAGGTCATTATCCATGAGATCAAATTTGGTGGTAATCTCATTCTGTTTAGACATGAGATCTTTGGCTCTGGAGCGAGGTTCATCCATCGTGAGCTTGGCGGAGAGTTCAGCCAATTTTTTTAGCCGTGCCTCTTGCTTGTTGAGGCCTGGCTTGACAAAGCCTTCTAACATGTCAAGAAGCTCTATGACTTCTTCCTCTGTTTTGCATCTTTTTGCTCCATCTCGCGTGGTTTTCAAGAAGTGCTCACTGTCACTGATCCAAACTGATGCCTACCAAAGAGAAAAGAAGATTTCAAGAAGTTCAGTTACATAAAATACATACAAGATGGCTTCCTAGGATGATAGCAGATAGGGATTAATTGCACCTGCCAAGATTCCTCTGGGAGTGGGTATAAAAACTGAGCTGGTTAACCAGAGGATTAATGGAGCATGAGATAGGAAGAACTCCCAATTGCAGATACAAGGTACAAGTTTCAACAGAGGGCATTTCTTTGTGCCCTACATGAGACAAAGCACCAGTGCAATTTTCAACCTGGACGCTGGAGAGCGTTATCCAGCCTTCGAACAACCGGGACCGGAAGGACAGATTTTTTTTTTTTTT